CTGCCTTCGCCCTAAGTCAGCTGGGATAGACTCCAGCCCCCCACGACCCTAGTGAGGATTAAGCGGTGTATAGATAATGGATGGATGGATGGGATGTGATTTTGATAAAACATCATAATTACAAGCTTAGGTTTGGTTGTATTTGCTGATGGAACTGCACATCACAGCTATGTTAATGAACCATCAGAAAGTTAAAAACCTGATTATTCTTTTAGTTTTTACAGTTAATTTCAGCATTTAAAAAAAAGAAAACATTCCTTTCATATTCCCTGACGGATTTGGGGGTTCAGACGGTTAAAGCAAAAACATGTGATTTGGATATTGCCTAATTCCAGCTTTAATATTTCTGTTAATTGTTCAGCCCTACAGTTAATGACTTTTCCATTCTTGAGCCATGCTGCATTTTTCTAACTGATCCAGTATGTTTCATGTTTTATTTCCTCTCAGCCTCTCTGCTCTGTGGAAGCATTTCCTGCAGTTCAACCTGCAAACCTCTCTCTGTTTACTACATCATATCACACCACTATAAAAGTGTATGACAACACTGACCTGCTTCATGTCTTCTTCAGGCTGCTGTGTTCTCGATGCCCGCTGAGCAGACGGTGCTGCACATCGCCGCCCTGCAGGTCGGAGCGATGTACTGCTTCAGAGCTCAGATCGTCCTGGACTCTGGGCTCCACAGCAGCAGCACCGACGCCCGCTGTGTGTCCATCACAGGTACAGGAGGAACACAGAACCCTCATTTACACTACAAGGTTCAGCCCGATCCAGCTTCGCTATCAGATCGTTTCAACATAGGCAAGATTCTCAGCTGGTCGCCATAACAACGCTGCAAGAAACTGCCCTTGACATCGTTTTAAACACCACACAAACACAGGAACAGATGAGGATATTGAATGGATGCATTTCTTAAATTTCTAGATGTTATTAATTAATTAATTTATTAATTAATTAATTAAATAAACCGGTGCCAGATACTGTCTACAACAACAAAAAAAACAAAAAAAACAAAAACGAGCACATCGAGTCGAGACCCACTTCCATGTGTTTTACTTTCCTAATGTGCCGTAACTTTCAAAGAATACATTCACTAGTTTTATTAAAATATTGTTGTGTTCATGTAGTTAAAAAAAAACAAAAAAAAAACAGAAAAACTTCTCAATTCTGTCCATAAATGTCTTATTAACTTTTTATCAATAATTCCAATTTCTACAATGTCCTCAACTTTCTGAACTTGAAACTCAAAACAGAACTCAAAGTGTCACAACTTTCAAAAAAAACAAAAAAACATCATAAACGTTCTTACAACCATGTTTTTTACTTTCAGAACATAACTTTCAACAATAAATGCCCTCACATTCCTAAAATGCCCCAAATTGAGTCACATTTGGAAAAGGTCCTCACATGGAAATATTCATGTTCATGTTTTGTCTTAGTCTTTTTAATTATTTAAGAAAACTTGTTCGGTTCAACTCATGTTTTCTTAATTTTTAAAGAACAATTCCAAAATGTTCAACATTTCTAAATTCACTTAAAAAATGTCATAACTTTCAAAATATAAAAATCATCACAAATATTGTTTTTACTTCCTAAAATGCCCCCTTCTAAAAAAAAAAATATTCAAAATGTTTTAGTGTTCCAAAAGTCTTCAGTTTTATATTTAAAAAATATAATAATCCATGTTTTTACTTTCTAAATATATACACATTTTTAAACAATAAATGTCCTCCCTTTCCTGAAATGTCCCCAAATTATGCCACATTTTAAAAATGTCCTCAATGTCCGTGTTTTTAATTTTGTAAAATGCCACATTTCCTCATTTTCAAACAGCACTCCTACTTTTACGTTATTGTTTTTTCTTGACTCTCAGCTTCCAAAGATTTGATGATTTCTAAAGCTCTACACAGATTCAGCTCCTGTGTCCCGATAACGTCGAGGTTTTGACTCGCCTGCAGGTGCTGTTCCCTGGAAGAAGCCGACCACCGTCACCGTCACCGTCATCGTCATGGCCGGTCTCCTGTTTGCTGTGTTCTGGTCCGTCGTTCACTGCCGGCCGGACGCCTGCCAAACATATTTCCATAAAGAGCCGCTGCCACAGTCACTGGTCAGTGCCGGCTGATATACAGACACCAAGACATGTGAAAAATAAAACATCAGAATCAGAGAAACGTGCTGTGTGTGCATATGCAGTGCTTAACAAATTCATTAGACCCTCACCCAATGTCAGGTTTATGCCACAGTTGCTTTAAATGAACAGCATTGGTAATTACCAACATCATTTCCCATGTTTCTGTAATGGTTAATACACTGTATGTAGAAGCTCTTTAACCAAAATGAGATTTTTTTATGCTAAAATATAATTATTATTGTTCTGCAGAAAGGTAATTGGGACATAAAAATCCTGATGAGCCCTCAGGAGGACGAGCTTTGTGAGCGAATCCCCGCGGTGCTGAGCGTCGACTCCAAGCGACGGGCATCAAAAACAGATGCTGAATCCGCAGCACATCTGGACAACCAACAGTACTGACGTTTTTTGGAGTTTGTGCCACATTCAAATCCTGCGGGTTGAACAAAAAGACGAAAAACTGAAGGAAACAACGTCAAGATGCACTTATGCTTCGTCAGAGGATCACATCCGACCACAGGCGAGATTTCAGCATCCACGTGTGACTCTCTGACCACAGTTTGTGGTCTAAAGGAGGTGAAACATGACAATATGTTCACACTGAAGTGACAAAGCCCCGTCGTGGATGCAGGAATTCTGACTACTGTCTGCCAGGAACAAAGGAGGAAGTTGGATGATGTTGAAGCCTACAGAGGGAGGAGGTCAGGGTTGATGAATGGGTCCAAAAAAAAAACAACAAAAAAAAAAAAGTTTAATTTAACTTGACTCTGCTGTTTGTTTGCTGTTTCCTACAGCAAATCAATGTCAGTATCCTTCAACTATGACCACATTTATTCTTGAACCTTATTCACAAAGTTAATAACGTGTCCATGGATCAATAAGACGTCATCGACAATATTATGCTGAGCTAGAAGATTTTTACGTTTTTTGGCAATTAGACTCAGATGACAAGTGGATAGAAGATAAGATAGGACAGAAAGACTTTTAAAACAAATACAATGATGCTTATCAAAACAACTTAAATGGACCGAGAGACTAGAAGCATAGATCTACCGTATGAACTATCCAGGAATAATTACAGTCATAAGGGGAGGAAACAGTGAAGGTCACATGGTTCTTGAAGGCTGGAGAAAAGAAAACAATGAAGACTAGAGGCTGGGGGAGATACAGTTATGGTGCATGATGGAGCTGACAAACAGTAGAGGACTATAATGAATAAATGAGAAACAGCACAAAACTGAGCAGCTACATGCAGAATTTACCTCAGGGGTCTTAAGCTATAGTGAAATGGTGCAATGGGGAGTCAAGCTTGTAGGAATCTCTCAGAAACTAAATTGTAAAACTGAAGATGAAGCCTTCAAAAAGAAACTGATGAGGGAGTGAACTCACCACATCTTAAAAACACATAGAAGGTCGATAACATTCAAGTGGAGCATGTACATCTGCAGGGAGTCAACAGAACACTGCTGAGGAACAGAAACAGGCTGCTGAGATCCAGGATGGAAGGGAAACTTTAGCTCAGGTTCAAGGAAAGACTTGAACAAACTTGGTTTGTGAAGGAAGATTTTGTACATTGTTATGCCTATTTTCTATTAAAATTCAAAGACTGTTGTCAGTGTGATTTTGTGAAAGAGATTGTTCCAATAAACTAAAAGACAGACTTGGAGGGTGTTACTGTGTTTACTGTATGTATTTATAGACAAACTGTGCAGGCTAAGATTCTTGGTTTTATACTGTTCTTTGTCCTCCAAAACAACGTCAGTGTATCTACGCTTTTCTAACCAAAACCAACTTGTGTTGCATCTACACTTAACCCAACAATCATAACACTGTTTTCCTTTTGCAGTGACTATTTGTAACAGTATATGTCATTTAA